TGTTGTTGTTGTTGTTGTGGTTGTTGTTGTTGTTGTTGTTGTTGTTTGGTTGTTGTTGTTGTTGTTGTTGCTGTTGTTGTTGTTGGGTTGTGTTTGTGCCTTGTTGTTGTTGTTGTTCTTGTTCTTGTTGGCTGTTGGTTTTTTGTTGTTGGTTGTTTTTTTCTTTTTTGTTGTTGTTGCTGTTGGTGTTGTTGCTGTTGCCGGCTTTTTTTTGTTGTTGTGGTCGTTGTTTTGGTGTTTGTTGTTATTGTTGTTGTATTCATTTGTTGGTGGTGGTGGTGGTTGTTGTTGTTGTTGTTGTTGTTGGTTGTTGTTGGTTGTTGTTGTTGTTGCTCTTGTTTGTTGCTGTTGTTGGTTGTTGTTGATGTTGTTGGTTGTTGGTGTTGTTGTTGTCTTTGGTTGACCTCCGACTGCTCATTCAGGCTCGGAAGCATGCGCCCTGCATCGTCTTCATCGACGAGATCGACGCCGTCGGGTCCAAGCGCTCCAACCGCGACAACACCGCGGTGAGGCCGGAGGTGTCGCATTTGGAACCCCAACACAACCTGTCTGAGACTGCGGACTGCCAACCCGGGGTGGTTGACCTGGGATCAATGGGGCGGCAGTCCGATTCCAGTCCGATTCCAGTTTGGGAAGGAAGACCGGTGGATTGGATGACCCCGGGCCCTTGGGATCCAGGTTCGGTACGACTGGACCCGACGTTTGGGCACCGTCCCCAATCAATTGGTGAGAAGGTACTTGGATCCCTAGGGGATACTGGAATGACCCCCTTTGATTTTTGGACAACCCCAACTGATCGGCAAATGTATGGCAGACAGGTGGTGTTTGGGATGAGTACCTGGGGCCCAGACCCCGTTTGTAGAACCGGTTTTACCTCAGACGACGCCGTGAAAAAAAACGCCCAGAATCTTGTCGGCACGCCAGTGCCCAATGGGAAGGGATTGCGGGAGTTAAAGCACTGATGGCGCGAAACAAGTATTTGGAGTCTCAAAGTAGGGTCTGTCGTATTACCTGTAACAGTCAGTAAACAATTATCATCATTTTTGAACAAGGCCTTTACTGACCATCATCATCCACTGTTACAGGTAGTAGGATAGACCCAATCTCAAAGTACACACCAGGAGTTAATTCAATCTCGGGCTGGTGTGGTTCGTCCCATTCAAAAGTGGGATGTGTTCTGGGGGGCACCCGGAATTCCTTCATGGATAGCACCTCTTTGGAACTGCTGGTGCTTGTCAATGTGAACGAATCCGGCTGTCAACCGAGACCTTAGACAGGGATTGTAACATCTTGAGAAGTGCTACAGTGAGCCTTGAAAACCATTAACTTTACTTGCAAATGAAAAAGGGAGAAGGCAATTGTGCAAGCAGCCAAGCTTCACACAAGGCATGGACGGACCAAAACAATATGTTTGTGGCTGATCAAGTAGATCAAGCAAAACGGCGATTCTTCCCTTTATAACGGCGCTTTCACTTCTCCGACGGCATTGTCACTTTCAAGGGATTGAGCCTTTGCAGATATACCTGGATCTTCAAACGGCACAAATTTTTGCCGGAGGCATTTTTTTTAGTGAAAAGACGCCGTAATCAAAAAAAAAATGCCGTTTTATGGGTTGTACAAAATCCATGGACGGGGAAAGACGCCGTTTGGACGCCCAAAGACGCCGTTTGGACGCTTAAAGACGCCGTTTCTTTTTGCTTTCTGCCGGCGTGCGCCTCGTCACAACAAAAAACGCCGTCTTTGGAAAAAGACGCCGTAACGGCATTTTTTCCTGAAAAGGCAATTATTTGTGCCGTTTCGAAGATCCAGGTATTGAGTTACGGCAGAAATACTTGCCTCAATGGTGGCAAAAAGGATTGCCTCGGAAGGGTTTTGGTAAAGGATGGAAAAGGCATTAGTTTGTGCCGGTCAACGATAATGGAGACTGTTGATGAACACAATTTCCTACCGGAATTGTTTTTCATC